TGACAGTGTGATTTTATAACAATTTGCATTAGCTGATATTAAATGACTTAGTTGCGATCAGCTGATACTTATTGTTTACATCCTGACGTCAATACTTATGATGGCACGATGTCTCGAGGTCTAATTATAGTCTCTGAGGCTAGAAGCTTTCAAAATATGTGAGCCGGATCTCGTGTTGAATGGAACATAAGAACAAAGGTAACTGCAGAAGGCATATTGGCCCATACGAGGCAGCTCCTATCTATAACCACCCTATGGATCTGATGGAAAAAGGAAGAAACAGACTTAGAATTAGGGCAAACAGAAGAAGAATTAGGACGAACTGAAGTTGAATAGGGACAAATTGAAATAGAGTATGGGTTGTCTGAGGAAGAAAAGGAGATAATTAAGAGAAGCCTTGAGGAAGAGGGAGTGACACTAATGGAAGAAGAGCAGAGAGGTCCCTGACGAGCAATTAAACTTTTAAAAGTTTTTTTTCCCATGTAAATTAAAAGAAAGGCCATGTGGTCCTTGGTTTTATTATACCACAGGCTATTCAAGTGAGAGGAGTCGAGTGCGCTGAGATCACTTCACCCATCCTACTTGTATTACAAAATGCTGCGGGGGAAGGTGAGGAGAGAGGGATATCGATCTTCCTCACCCTCATCTACTACCACTACAACCACTTCCCTCACCTTACAAAACCGCCACTAAAACAAATTAGTTGAAGAAAGGGCATTCTCGTACCCTGTACAGTTGCTCATCTTGAGGAATGCACGAAAAGATGAAGTTGTGGAAGCCACCTCCATCCACAAGTTTAAGTCCATATTTGACAAAAAATTCAAACTTCGGAATATATTGAACGCAATAGGTACAATTACGCAAACATAAAGAGCTAAACTTCACTATCCCCCCCATAGTCACAGATAGGGAACCACCACCACGAACACTACCAACATCACATCCAATTTCAATCTCTCTCTCTCTCTCTCCTCCCGCAACGATAGACTATACGTTAACACGACCCCTCGATCATACCCCTCTGACAGAATGTGTTCCTTTTCTCTGAGAGACGCCCCTCTACTCTTATGTAATATTACAACATGTCGAGGTGCTGCTTCACGCCTACCGCATGGGCTCGAGGTTGGAACATGTGACCAAATGTTGCTGCGTGGCACATTGTTTTGCGTATACCTGTACGCTTATATCCGCTCGTCGTTAATTGGCGGGAGCGGAGGAATTTGCGAGGTTCATGTTCAAAAAAACAAGAAATGGTCAGGGAACTATCAGGAAAAAAGAGTCATGCCATTACGACTACATAGCACTGGGAAGGGATCAGGATAAGGATTTGGGATGGGACAGGGGGATAGGGGAAGGGGGAACAATCGTGCCCAACCACTTGGACGGTCGGGAATTGAATGCCGACCTGCATGAAGCGAGACCGTCGTTCTACCGTCCAGCCCAAGTGGTTGGGCACAGGGAAATGGGAAATTGTCTTTACTTGTCTGTTAAACTCTGCTTCTGCACATTTCTATCTACATCTATTAACCCATTATTTTGTATATCTGCATCTCTCTCTCTCTCTCTCTCTCTCTCTCTCTCTCTCTCTCTCTCTCTCTCTCTCTCTCTCTCTCTCTCTCTCTCTCTCTCTCTCTCTCCCCCCCCCACAACTATGAACAGGTCGTATTACTTGGTGAAGCGTGCCCACAAGCTCGGTGCTGCCACAACTTAGCTTTTCCACCATGTGGGCAGAAAAGTTCCCGGACAATGGCGGGGTATTTTTCAATCCCGCGGGGACAATGCATCAGCTCAATACCCAATTGATATTAGATTCGTCCACACAATGTTGGGGGGGGGGAGAGTGAAGGACGGACGGGGTAAGAAGCGAAGGAGAGTGGGAAAGAGAGGGAAGGCTGGAGGAAGTGAGGGAGGGAGTAGTAAAAATGAGGTAGGGAGAATAGGACAGATAGAGAGAGAGGGGAAGGGGCAGGAGAATGGCACTAAATAATTACTTGTGACTGATGGCCGTGTTAATGTTTTAACAACGTGTTGATAGTCGGGACAATTCATGGCACCAACCTTTCACTACGGTCTCTCTCTCTCTCTCTCTCTCTCTCTCTCTCTCTCTCTCTCTCTCTCTCTCTCTCTCTCTCTCTCTCTCTCTCTCTCTCTCTCTCTCTCTCTCTCTCTCTCTCTCTCTCTCTCTCTCTCTCTCTCTCAATAAATCTTGTTTTGCCTATTATTCTATACCTTCTACCCACTTGATTTACTACGTATCATTCAAGATCAAAATATATAGTTTCTCACACAACACCAATAATCACGTTTATGTCTTTATCAACTAATATCTGAAGCGAACGAGACTCGACGCTCCCTAATAACGCTCATCCTTTCTTCCTGGAAAAGTTTTTAACTAATTAGTTCACTTTTAGATTCGAGTCTCTGATGAAAGTGAACTTCTCAGTTATAAGTATTATTCGCTCTTTGTGTGAGGGAGGGGAAGATTGTGAGGTGGTGTGAGGGAGGGGAAGATTGTGAGGTAGTGTGAGGGAGGGGAAGATTGTGAGGTAGTGTGAGGGAGGGGAGGATTGTGAGGTAGTGTGAGGGAGGGGAAGATTGTGAGGTAGTGTGAGGGAGGGGAAGATTGTGAGGTAGTGTGAGGGAGGGGAAGATTGTAAGGTAGTGTGAGGGAGGGGAAGATTGTAAGGTAGTGTGAGGGAGGGGAAGATTGTGAGGTAGTGTGAGGGAGGGGAAGACCTTCATGCTCCCGCTACGCCAACATTTGCCTCCCTCCATCATCCACACTTGGTCTCGAATGTAATAAATACAGACATATTTGTATTGACATATTTTCATGAAACTCCAAACAGAATCTTGCATTTAGTTTTATATGAATTATTTTTTGTAGACTTAGGTATGTAAATTTAATGTACAGAAGTCGTTGCATAAATAATCTTTTTTCTCTCTGTATTATAATTTGTAAATTCCTGTTATATTACAAATATTTATTCTGATGCATGTCTTGATATCTGGAGGTAATATTTAGTGAGAAATACACGTTATTCCCAGTGATACATGTATACAAACACTACAGGTCTTGTTTTATGAACGGGACCAGGGAGGAGCTGCTACTGCTTCACCGGCTTCTCCAACACTCTCCATCTCCCACAACTTTGCTCCACCGGCCTCTCCAACACTCTCCATCTCCCACAACTCTGCTCCACCGGCTTCTCCAACACTGTCCATCTCCCACAACTCTGCTCCACCGGCCTCTCCAACACTCTCCGTCTCCCACAACTCTGCTCCACCGACTTCTCCAACACTCTCCATCTCCCACAACTCTGCTCCACCGGCCTCTCCAACACTCTCCGTCTCCCACAACTCTGCTCCATCGGCTTCTCCAACACATATCATCTCAGGAGTCTGTGTGTGTGTGTGGATCTTCTTCAGTTAGTTCCCTGTCCCCGCCTTACACCTACACAGGCTGATATTTTTGTATATGCAGTGTTTATTTTTCTTTCTAATACTTATTTCTTCCTACATATTCTTTTCATCTGCAATCTGATCTTTCTTCTAATATCCTGGTTGTGTTTTTATTATTTTTCTCATTTTCTGTCCTGCTTCTTGTTTTTTTTCATTTATGATATATTCTCATCTTAAATTCTTGTGTTAGATAACGAGGTAGAACTCATATCGAGAGTTAATACTCTCATTTGTTTATTGTGATCTTGGCATCCGCCCATCATTTATACCATATTTGCATATTAATCTTTACCCCCTCACCCGTTACTCATTAATTCTTCATATACTCATTATTATCTTCTCCCCTTCCTTCTAATTCTTTTCTCGGTAAATAGGAAATAGTTGCAGGTAAAGAATGAAACGCCTCATATTGTCAAACTTTATTACAGTATGTACAAGATGGCAGCATAAACTCTCGAAACAGTAATATGTAAGATTATTTCGTAACACATATGTACACAATAATATAATTTCTCTCATATTAATCTCTCTTGACAACGTGACTATAACAGTGCGTTAATGTCATCTATGCATAGAACAAACTTCAATTGGTCTAATATTTGTTGCTAATGTTTTTTTGTTTTTGGCCTATTGACAAACTGAAATACACGGCACACCATACACATCACACCATACAAAACGCCTCAGTTACACATCTCTGTACATTTAAAAACATTTGGTAGAAATCTCGAGCGAAATGTGCAGTATGTACATGTGATTCGTTCCGAAGCAGAATGCTACCTACTTAAAAATACAGTTTATGGTATTTACAGGGAGGAGATTGGCAGTAGTTTTTGTCGACACGTATATCACCTCATAGTGAACACTCTATGACTAGTTCTAAAAGAAAATAGGGGAAAATTATATATATATATATATTTTGAAGGTACTCATTTTGAAGAGGGGGGGTCATTTTGAGGTGGTTAATCATTCTTAGGGATTATACAAGATTCTGAACTGAAGCCGGGGGAGAGAATCTGAAATATATATATATATATATATATATATATATATATATATATATATATATATATATATATATATATATATATATATATATAATATAAATATGCTGTATTTATCTTTTTCTTTTTTTACGTCCACCTTCATTGTGTTTTACTGAAATACGTGACTAAGTCTACTGCTAACAGATAAAATAACAGATTATGTTGTCAACTAGAGCTAATATATCAATCCAGAAAATCAATACATTGTTACGTAGAAACATGTCACTTCTTAATTTGATCAACACAGACAGCAGCTAAGTCGAAAATGGCAACTAGAAGCACATATTGCTATGAATTTAGGATTTGATACAAACGCTTGCAAAAAATATATGTAGCTGAGGAAGCCGCGTGCCAGGTGTGTATTTGTAACAAGATATATACATAAAATCCAAGGAAGCTGGGGTCAGGTATATATATATATATATATATATATATATATATATATATATATATATATATATATATATATATATATATATATATATATATATATATATATATATGCGGAAGTTGTACGTGAGAGGGAATTTCTTGCACGTAACTATAATGGCATTGAAGGGAACACAGTTGTGGCTAATTTATTCAATAAGTCATATAGATATACAAACCATTTTACCAGACAATGACAGATAATGCATCAGATGCCTCTAGGGAACGTCAGAGGAACGTGAACCATGCAATCGGAATTAGTATCCAATTTGGACTTATTGTAATTTTTCCCCTTAGTCAGCTGAGATAGAGAAAAACTGGAACAGAACGAACTGGAAGAGCACATCAAAAATCCTAAAAATACTGCTGGAATTTTCTAGTGAGCACGACGTGGGTGACTGGTGGGCGTGTTAAGGGCGGCCAGTGGATGGGTGTTGAGGGCGGCCAGGGTGTAGAGGTACGATCTGTTGACTGGGGGTGGGTGGGTGTCGCGGGTGGAGGACGTAGGTGGCTGGGTGTGGAATTCGTTGTTAGGGTAGACTGGTCGGGTGTTAAGAGTGCGTGGTCGAGCGTTGAGCGTGCGTGGTCGCAGGTTGTCAGCGTTGTCGTCTGTGCGGCTGGCAGAGGGTTGGGAGGTAGACACATCTTGGGCGTTTGTTGGGTGGATGGTGCTGGTTGATGGTGTTGTGAACGTGGCTAGGGTGGTTGTGGTGTAAGTGGCTACCTGGTTTGGTTCTCATAAAGTAGTAACGTAGTCCACCTCGCTGTAGTCCAAGCTGTAGGCAGAGGTCACGCCACCGTCCCGCTCCGCTGCATCCTTGTCGGAGGAGAAGAGGGACTCGGAGGCCGTGGGCAGCGTGGGTATGGGCTGGTGCTGGTGGGTCTTCTTATCCGCGGCACGGAGTCTGGCCGCGCCGTACACTGTCACGCCCACCAGCAGGAGGACGCTCAGGGCGGAGCCCACCGCGATGTACGCCCACGGCACGGAGAGGAAGAAGCAGTGGGCGATAAGCTCGTCGTATCCTGAGGGACAGTGATGTACACCGTCACACCAGAGGTTCTCGCTGATGCACACACGCAACTCCGGGCACTCTTCCTGGCACCCGCGCACGATGCCCTCAGATGACCAGTCATACTGGCGCACCGGAGACACCTGAAGCCACGAGAGTGTGTGTGGACCCGGATCGCGGGTGCTGTCCCGTCCAGACACTTCCAGCACCAGCTTGTCTGTCGACTGCTCCACCAGTGAGCCGGAACCTTGCCAAGCGAAGCTGTACAACTCTACCACATTTTTGGTGGAGGAGTCCGGGCAGAGGACGGCAACTGGCCTCAGACGACCCACTTTGAAGACTAGGAGTCGTGTGCCAGTAGTGCAGTTCTTGTCGATGTGGTCATAACCTCGTATTCTAAAGTATATGGACTTCTCGGCATCAGAGGTCTGGAGAAGCCACGGGTAGTTATCACACGGTTTGTGCTCTGTGAGGTTAGCCTTCCGGAACACTATTTCACCATTAGTGCCCTGAAGTCTTTGCTCTTTTTTGCAAGACGTCTTCTTGACAAACTCGTACTGAGCTTCAAACATGAAATCGAGATAATCGTGAGTTTCGTCCATATTGCTGACTTCGAATCTGAGCCTCAATTCTTGTGATTTAGACTCGTACTCAATGGGAATGGCCGAGATATCACAGGTGCAGAGTCTTGGCACTTCAACTTCCTGCCAGGGATACTCTGAGACGACAAGTGAAGCGGTCTGGCCCGCCCGGCTATCGCAGTCGTAGCTGCCAGTGAAGTTGTTTGTGGTTGTGACGCATGAGCGAGACACACTGTGAAATTTGGTTATGGTTACACGCACGACCTCATCACTGTGGGCAGTGAGGCGATACTGGCAGGACAGCTTACGTCGTCCCCACCTTCCGTACAGCACCGACGTCCTTGGGGAAAATACCCGACCCGTACGGAGCGAGTACCCGTCGCTGATGGCTTCAAAATCACACTCGCTGCCGTTAGTTGGGCTGTATCCGGGTCGGGTGTTGACGAACTCATAGCGCAAGATGAAGTCCATAGCAAGAGCAGCGGTGGACTCATTATAGTGCTGCACCACCGTCAGTTTGGGCCCATCAGCCACGTAACTTTCATTCCTGGTACAAGCCTTAACTGGGGCAGAGAGCCCACGGCGAGGTGGAAGGTATTCCCGGGCACACATGGGCGGAGGACGCGCCGTGCAGTGCTCCTGGATGAGGCGGGCGCGTCTGGGTGAGCCGTATGGTATGCTTGGGTCGAAGAAGTTTCCGTCGTAGATCCTGAGCGGGTTGATGCACTCGGTCATATTGTAGGTGTAGTGGCCCATCTTCGGGGCGATCTCGTATTTGCGGAAGTGCACCCAAACTACCTCGTGAGGCTCCCCATGGAAGAGATACACGCACGAGGAATTCTGTGATTGCGTGTTAACTACCGACACTATCTCCCCGCTGGCGTTGTTGGCGCCGAAGATGTGGAACACGCATTGGCGATTCCGGGCGAACTGCCTCGAGTCCATGTTCAGGTAAGTGACCTTGACGTCCAACTCGAAGCCGAAGGTCCTTGGCATGAGCGTCTCCTGAGTGGGCTCGTCGAAGCGCGAGGTGCTGAAGACGACCAACATTTCCGGCCCCGTGGAGGTGATGGGCGGCAGCGACCCTGACCCACACACCTTCAGGAAGAGCGGTGAGTCTGTAGAGTTGCCGTCGTACACCAGCAGGTGGTCGTGTACCAGGTCACATGATCCCCATATCTGTCACGAGTAAATAATGATCGTTAAACATATATTATATATATATATATATATATATATATATATATATATATATATATATATATATATATATATATAGTAAGTATATATATATATATATATGTATATATATATATATATGTATATATATATATATGTATATATATATATATAAATATATATATATATATATATATATATATATATATATATATATATATATATATATATATATATATATATATATATATATATATATATATAGTGGAGGTCCCTGTGCCCTTCTTCACCACCTTCGAGGTCAACCCCGGAACTCACAGTTCCTGCGACGGCGCTGGAACCAATCGTATTGGCGTATGCTTTTCCATTGGAGACTCAGCGCCATGGAGAGGGGGGACCTGCTGCCTGGGTAACAGCTTCTCCTCCGTATCAACCTACCCTGGCTTTGCGTCCTGGTGAGGCCACTCCAGAGCGCAACTCCATAGTCTCCTGAGACTGATGGATGCCTACTACTATATATATATATATATATATATATATATCTATATATATATATATATATATATATATATATATATATATATATATATATATATATATATATATTGTATAAAAATAATACAAGGTATTACTTTTAATGTATTACAAATAACTTTTAAACAGAAAAGAGTTACATGAGTAAAACACAAAAACCGAAAGAGAGGAAAATTACACAACATTTATAATATATTTGGAGTGAAAATCAACTCGAAGGGACAATACAGTTTTATGCCAAATTTAACAATGAAAAAAATGAAGATATTTAAATATAAATAATAAAATTAAAAAAAATGCCTTGTATGAAAATGTTATTATCAACCAATTTAACAATGATAAAATTAATGCACACAAAAAAACAAATACAATACCTATCGAGGACCAAAAATTTGCAGAGTGGAAACCTAGACCTGGAGTATTTGTTTTTGTGTTTGATTTTGCTATTGGAAAATGAATTGATAATAACTGTCATATATTTTTAATTGTAAAATTTTGTGTTTGTTTTCTACTTTCTTGGACTACAGTGGTCAATATAATGACTTTTTAAGAATGTTCATTGGCCCTATAAGTTCAATTTATTGTTTTTATATAATAATTGTACTATTCCTCTCGTTCACTTTTCATTTTTGAACTTTTATGACTGATATTGTCTCAGTTTGTTTGTAAAGATAGTTGTAATACATATTTTGTAATAGTCTGCAACTTGAAACAACAGAGATGGTGGTGTTTGTAACTGCTCTGAAACACTGAATAAATCACGATTGTGCTTTAAGCTTCCTACAGCTTGTTTTCATGGTACAATACCACACTCTTATGAGTAACATTATGAGAAGTGGCGGGTATCCTACCTGTAAACCTGGAGAAGTGAGCCCTTGGCTCGGGAGGGCGGAGTTGGCCTTGACGTTGAACCTGAGAGGGTTGTCCTGGTATATGGTGATGAGGGGCTTCTCGTAGGGCACGTAGCGTGTCTGGCGTATGAGGAAGTGGCAGGTGACGTGGCGAGGGTAGAGGCCGGGGAAGTTGGGACTCTGCACCGAACATATGTTTTGGTCGCAGTTGAGGAAGATGCGGTCACAGAGCGAGCCTGGGCGTGGCAGAGAGAGTAGGGTGAGCGGGGTGGTTATAGCACTCGACATGTTTTTTGCGCTCGTGGGGAGGGGAAGTGTTATTTGGGCTTGGGCGAGCGTAGGGATGATGGAAGTGATCTTTTACAGGATGATATGATACATATATTAAGTATACGAGTCATATATATAATATATTAAGTATACGAGTGAACGAACCGTATGAAAGGAGAGAGAGAGAGAGAGAGAGAGAGAGAGAGAGAGAGAGAGAGAGAGAGAGAGAGAGAGAGAGAGAGGGGATGGGAGAAATTTGTTTGCAGTTAATGTTGTATTCTGCACAATTGTTGAGGGTATGATGGTTTGGGATCACAGAGCAAGCAACGAGAGAGTAAACTGGTGGGTGAGAGAATTGAGTTGATGGATGATAAAATAAATGAGTATTGGATGAGAAAAATGAGTTAATATGGTAAAGAGTAAAGTAGTAGTCGAGAAGAGGAAGGTCAAGCCAGATACTATAGTGGTTATAAGAAATGAATTAGTGGAGGAGAAAAATTAGATAATTAGTGGGTGTGAATAAAGGTGAGTTGTTAAAAGAATAACTGAGTTAGTGAGAGAAGAGGTGGATTAGATGAGACTTAAGAATGAGTCTGCTGAGATGTCCCTAGGGTTGGTAGTCTTGGGAACCATCTCACCAACCATCTTACAAACCACCCAATAATCTCACCACTCACCCAGCTATCTTACCAACGGCTCAGCCTGCTCACACACCGTTTGAGGTCGAACAGAAGTGGATGAGAGCGATCTTAAGTAATAGCAATAAGTTGCCTTGGCTGACAAGTGATCTGAGTCATACCTCAAGGAAGTATGATGCTCGCACCATACACATCGTGTACATGGAACATACGTAAGTCATATACGATTTACATATAAATCATATATGATTTATATGATAATTAAATTAAGAAGTAAACACAGCCTGATTACATATTGTTTCATAATAGACACGGTACAATATTATTATGTTGAAAATAATACAATAATTCAATAACTCAGCAAAGTAGCTGTAATTGTGTGAAAATATATCGTATGGCCCAGGCTCTGCTTCAGGAGGCTGGGGTCGTTCTTGCCCTTGCTGGGGTGGTTCTTCTCCGGCTCTGACCACGGCGGTCTCCGAGTTTGGAGTCCTTGTGGCTTCTTTTACCAATTTCGAGATAATCTCCGGAGCTGGAGCCCCTGGGGGAGTTCGTTGTTGCCTGCAACCTCGTATTGACAGTTCCTGCGACGGCGCTGGAACCAATCGTATTGGCGTTTACCTTTCCATTGGAGACTTTCGGCGCCGTGGAGAGCGGGGGGACCTGCTGCTTGGGTAACAGCTTCTCCCCCGTATCAACCTACCCTGGCTTTGCGCCCTGGGTATATATATATATATATTGCTGACCTAATCTAGCCTAAGAAAACACTAACCTAGCCTAAGCTAACCCTACCTAATCTAGTGTAACCTTATATAGCCTAACCAATCCTACTTTCTTCTTGGTGTTTGGTTTACAAGTCAAGTTTACAAGGTTAGCTATCAAGTTAGATTGATAAAATTGGTTTTTAAAGTCAGGGATGGTTACTAGTTTCGGTTTCAAGTTAGGGTTTCAAGTCCAATTTACAGGTCTGGTTTACAAGCCTAGTTCACAAAAGAGGTCTACATGTCAGAGGCTTGCAAGCTGCAACTTCTTCAAGGCCGGATGTTGCACTCCGACCTTGCAACTTTAACAGGAAGCACTTATAGCTATCTTTTATGGCAAGTTCTTCCTGCCAGAGTTCAACTCTTCTGGGTTTTCTTCCCCTTTTTCACTTCTTTATCATTCTTATTCTATCCTTCATCTGTTATATTTCCTTAATTATACTTCTTGAACTTTGCTTCATAACATGTTTCTTCGTGTGATCTTACATGCCTTTTACATGCCACTCTCCTGACCACTCATCCTTCTCTTTTTCAAACACTTCGTCCTTCTACTTTCTACCCCACCCTCCTTTCTTTCTCTATTACCCCCTTCTCTCTCTCTCTCTCTCTCTCTCTCTCTCTCTCTCTCTCTCTCTCTCTCTCTCTCTCTCTCTCTCTCTCTCTCTCTCTCTCTCTCCCTCTCTCTCCCTCTCTCCCTTCTCTGTTTACTTTCTCTTGTCTCCCCATTCTAAAGTTTCCTTTTGTATTTTCATTTAGCTTAAGCGATAATAAGGGCAAATAGTGTGATCAAAATGAGAAAAAAATTGGAAATTGGCAATAAGAAATTATGATAAATAGGCGCAAAGAAAAAATGGATAATAATGGCGGAAAGGAAAATATAAAAATTGGGAAATAAAGAAAGTGACATTGAAAACAGATGAAGTATACGAAAAAATGGACAGAATATAGTCAGAATATACGTGAACAAAAAAGGAATGTTGAAAAATACAGACAAAAGAAAACACAAGACTTTAAGATGAATAGGAATAGACCTATTTGAAAACTTGGTTAAAAGAACAAATCAATTGGGAATAATTTACAGCATGAGGAGGAGGAGGAAGCCAGCGGGACCTGAGAAGCGGTGCAGGTTGCTGGCCCGTAAATTACTTTATAAAGCGAACGTGCATTTTTCCCCACACAAAAATCAGTCCTTTCAATCAGGACAAGTGGAAGATGATTGCTGGTGGAGGGGGGGAAAGGGGAGAATATGGCTGATGCAGAGGGGTGAGAGATACGAAGGAGAGGAACAGGAGGGAGGGGGGGGAAAGGAGGGGTGAGACAGCCAAGGAAGTACAGGGAGGGGTGACAGACAGAAAGGAAGAGGAAGATTGCGCTCGAGATATATAAATGGTAATTCCGATCTGTCACAGGAACCTGGAGTGTGAATTACTCGCATGAGAGGAGAGCAAACAACAGTAACGTCAGGAGAGAGTTCTAAACGTTTGTTGACAGTGCAAGGATGACAAAAGGTCCCAGCATGTATTAGCAGTAGTCTCCAATATGTTGAAATAGTCCCATTATATCGAAGACATGAAAAAACGATTCTTCGCGGCAGGGGATCGTATTCCAGGGACCATAGGATTAAGGACTTGCCCGAAACGCTACGCGTACTAGTGGCTGTACAAGAATGTAACAACTCTTGTATATATCTAAAAAAAAAAAAAAAAAAAAAAAAAAAAAAAAAAAAAAGACGTTAGCGGTATGCGTAAGTGGTCCCCCTGAATGAAGAAGCAGTATCCAACATCTGGAAGTAGTCTGCAGCAGATCTTAGTTGTCCCCCAGCATGTAGACGCATCTTCAGCATGTAGAGGTAACCCCCAGCAGATTATACTAGCCCCTTCCCCTAGCAGGCAGCAGTTGCTCACACAAGCTCGGACGCGAACTCACTCACATGATTGTTGTGTATACACTCATATTCATCCTGTGAGCGGTGGTGTTGTCACTAGCCTTCTCTCACATATTCTGGTTATTGTACACCGTCTACTAGTGAGTAAATATTGCTCATGTCCTATTCCCCACTACCCTCAAGTCCTGTCTCACTTCCCATGCACACGCACGTTCCTAGCGCTCTCTTATTCCTTCCCCCCCCCGTCAGCAGTAGACGGGGGAGGGGGGGGGGGAAGGAATACTTACTTCATACATACTTCTTATTCCTTCTCAGTGCTATATAGGCGTAATAGCTTGGGCTGTTTCCCCTGATAGTTCCTTTCTCTTATCTCGGTACGAATCCTTCTTACACACTGCCCTTTTGATCTCACTCTCTCACTATCTTGACCTCACTCTCTCCCTCTCGACCTCACACTCTTCCCCCTCTCTTGTGATCTCGACCTCACTCTCTCCCTCTCGACCTCATTATTAAGCTTTTCATCCGGATGGGGTTTTCGCCCATCTTTCTTGATGTAATGTAGTGAGAGAAAGTCCCGGAAGAGCACAGAGAGGGCTTGTAGCACGTGTTTAGCCAGGTCTTGTACTGCCTACACGCTTCCCCTCCTCCTCCCGCCACAGTCATTCAGACGACAGTTAGAGGAAACCGCACACACACTTACACATGTGGTGTGTGACGGCGGGTGTTGGCTCCGTCACAGTGCTCTGTACCCTCACGCGCGCCTCACAACTATAGTAGAGGCTCGGGGGTGTAAACACTGCTGAGGCGTCATGTGTGTGTGTTGGAATTCCCGGTTAGTACCGTATCAGTGTTTACGGGGGAGTGAGGTCGGGCTCTTTATGCCCCGCCTTCTAGTCTTGTTGCACCCGATGCTTGTCATGTTAACTGTGCACTGACGTTCGAATTCTTTGTCAAATCTGACCTTAAAGCTGTGGATGGAGGTGGCTTCCACAACTTCTTCCTTGCCACATAAACACACACACACACACATACATATATATATAATCGACAGACACTCGTGGTCTAATTCGGAACATTCATAGATATAGAGATCTAGTTTACCTTTTCAATATGAGATTTAAAATGGGTTAGAAAATAATATATCTGGAAGAAGAATGTGGGGAAGAAGCAGAGTAAGAGAGAGGACGTACCGTCGGTCAGGTCTCCGCGGTTCTTGGGCGAGGTAGAGTTGCCGTAACGCAGTATGGCGTCGCTTCGTCGCAGCGTCTTGTAGGTGAGGCGGAAGTTGAACGGTGACTGCAGCAAGCCCTGCCGGGGAGAGAGCCAGGAGATGGGGAGATAGTTAGTGCCTGGGGTGAGGAAAGGGGGGAAGGGGAGGAGACTTAAGTTTCGGGAGAAGAGAGAACAATGTGTTAACGGGAAGAGAGCTACCGGGAGTGATCAGAGAGGAGCCTGGTGGTCGACATGCTGGCGGGAGAAGAGATGCAGTGAACAAATATAAAGCGCATTTATAATAATAGGAGAGAGCAGCTCACTGGGACATTCAGGGGGTAAGTTCATGAGAGAGAGAGAGAGAGAGAGAGAGAGAGAGAGAGAGAGAGAGAGAGAGAGAGAGAGAGAGAGAGAGAGAGAGAGAGAGAGAGAGAGAGCACACGGATGGTGAGACTCGGGCCTTGGGGAGAAACCAGGTGGAAAGATGGGGAAAGATAAATGACACGGAAAAGATAGATGGCGCTAAACATTTAGGACTATTACGGAACAAGTAAGAATGAGGAGCAGCGTGATCAATCAAGGTGAGAGGAGAGTGAAGGAGAGATAAACAGGCAAGAGGAGGGAACGCACGCACAGTTAATGGGGGAAGACTCGTTGTGACGACACGTGAAGGCCACTAACAATAATTACTCGTAACAACATGTAGGGAGAGCTGCAGAGTCTTAAGATATGGGTAATAGTGAGCAAGTGGCTTCCGGGTGGTGATAAGGTAGGTGGGGAGGGAGGGGGGGGGTAGTGAGGGGTGATGGAAGGTAGAGGGGAAGGGAGGGGGGGGGTAGTGAGGGGTGATGGAAGGTAGAGGGGAAGGGAGGGGAGGGGAGGAGAGTATGGGTGGCACAAGGCAAGGTTGGGGTGGGGTGAGAGGTAGTGGAAGCAAGAGCAAGCTAAGTTTAGTTGGCAAACACGCACACACATCGTGTCAGCAAGGCGGACAGCCCGCCTGCAATCATAACTCATACTAAATTGCCCATTTCTAAACTTTTCCATTTATTTCTTCCTCTCCATCTTTACTCTCCCCACAAAAAACGGATGAGAGAGGGGTAATGGATGGTAGAAGGGGAAAGGGAGGGGAGTTAGTGGCGTAAGAGATGTAGATGGAAGACAGAGGATGGAGTATAGAGTGGAGGAAAGCACAACGAAAGGGGAGGAAAAGATTGATAAAAGCCATGATGAAAAGAAAGGAGATGGCAGAAGGCAGGAAGGAAGTGAAAGGTAATGACTGAAACAGCTGAAGTATAAGAATAGGAGAAAGGTGGAGTAAAAAGTTTCCCCAGGAGTAAAAATAATGAAGCTAAAGGAAGAGAGCTTGTAGAGGAAGCACAGAGCTAGAGGAACTCTTCTGTGTAGTATATAAGAGGAAGCATCGCCTCCTGGTAGTGAGTGGAGACCCACACACACGAACTCAGAATAAATTCATTGCGCTTCTCACCTTTATGTGTTAAGTAACTTGAAAAAAAGTCGGGGGAAAGCTCTAATCCCCGAAACGCATTAACTAACACAATTTTCACGAACTGCCCAATTACCCGCTTCAGGTGCAACACATGTGACGATGTACCTGTGGCCGGGATCCCCCAGGGAGGACGTTTTAACACCCAGGTGGAGGAAAATACGGCCTCGGTCTCCAACTTTTGCAATCTCCGACTCACCTCAAAGACGCTGTGTATAATCCCCGACACGAGAAAGTTTTACCCTCGGCCAGACGGGCCACTGCGGAGGCCCATGTACCGTGGGTTCGGCTGCATTCGTCTGCTTCCACTGCATTGCTCTCGTTCTGTGGCGCTGCCCTCACTCACATTTGCCTGGGGGAATCCTCTTGTATTTGTGAAAACTTGTCATCTCTGATGTTAGTCCTGGTGTCTCCTGGTCGTCGTGGGTTTAATTTATATTTTGTGTTTCGTGTCGACGAATACTGCTGTCTGCGGCTTTGTGGAAAGTTTCTTTTCACTGCTCTGTTGCCTCGAAGAGAGATTTGGTTTTAGTCTGTAGGATTTTAAGCATCTTTTTATCTTTTCTCTCTTTATATATATATATATATATATATATATATATATATATATATATATATATATATATATATATATATATACCCCTTCTAGGTTTAAAAAAAAAAATAAAAAAAAATATATATATATATATATATATATATATATATATATATATATATATATATTATATATATATATATATATATATATATATATATATATATATATATATATATATATACACACACACACACTTTTTTCGAATTATGGCTGATATAATGTAGCTCTTTATTTTTTCTCTTACAATGTTGCAGTTTGTTAACGTTAACTTCAGGGTGACTTTTTATATTTTTCTTTTTATAATAATTCATCCGTTCATTTATCATAATGTCTAATTATCCATAGATATGGATAATTATAATAGATATTTACGCATAAATATTTATTAACTTTCTTTTAATCTTTAGCATATTTTATTTCTTATATATTCGTTACCTTTATTTAGATATTTTGTTACTTAAGTTTTTTCTTCTATATACTGACATTCGCAGTAATCCGACGTTGTACTCTGTCGTGGCCACGGGTGAGAGGGGGAGAGAGAGGGCGACGTTGTACACGGTCAAGCCACGGGTGAGAGGGGGAGAGAGGGCAAGCACCTGGTCTCAAGAGCGGTTTAACAACTGTTTATTCGCGTCCCGAATAGGGAGTTGCTGAAATATAACAATATTTATATAATATCTAATATAGGGAACTATGGAGTATAGGGAACTATGGAGTATAGGGAACTATGGAGTACAGGGAGCTATGGAGTATAGGGAACTATGAAGTATAGGGAACTATGGAGTATAGGGGACTATGGAGTATAAGGAACTATGGGATCCTCTGGTGGTGTGTATGTAAACTGACTCAGACGTTGCCCCACTGGCATGTATTGGAACATTTTTCTATAGAAATCTGGGCCAGATTAATAGTAAACACTCCCCAAAACAATGCTCATTAAGAACAATACTTAAAGATGCATCAGCTGTCAAGTAGTTCCTTCAGCTAGGAGCCAGTTTCCATTGCCTTCAGTCCAGCAGCCGTCATCCAGGTCCAGTAGCTTCTGTTTAATTCTAGTACCTGTCTTTCAGTTCCAGCAGCTGTAATTCAGTTCCAGCAGCTGTCTTTCAGCTCAAGGATGTACAGTATCATTACACACCTCTAATTATTCAATATTAACAGTGCCAAATAAGCTTCAACAGGTAGCATGAAGTCTACTCAGTAGCAGTTTTATCCCGGTAACTTCCATTAAGTTTCAGCTGTTGCCACTCAGTTCCAGCAGTTAACGTTCAACGTCAATAACTGTTATAGAGTTTTCGATGCAATATAGTTCGTGTTGTTGCCAGTTAGTCTTAAGACTTGTTATAGCATTCCAATGACTGATGACTCCCTTGAAAAGCTGCCACAAATTTCCAAGAGCTGCCAAATACTTCGAGCAACTTTCATTCATCTCCATCAGCTGCCATTCACTCCCAGGTACACCAAAATCCACCACCCCGACCCACCTCAAAGTGAATGTAGTCCATAGGGATGAACTTCTTCAGCGTGAGGGTGGTGGTGGCGGTCTCGCTGAAGTAAACGTTGAAGCCCCGTCCGTCCCCGCACCAGTAGCCGTCCGTGTAGGGCCTGTCCCGCTCGCTGATCTGCATCCACCCCTGGGGACACCCGCTGTTGTAGCTGAAGAAGTCGCCCAACCTGCGGGAAGCGCAGACACGGAAAGCGAGGGGGTTAGTTTCAGGCGAAGTTGTTAACCTAAGTGAGGAAGTTGTTTAGGCGGAATGAGAGGCAGAAAGCAAAGTTGGGCAATTTTTAGACGAAGTAGGTTTACAGGCGAAGAAGTTGACAAGTCTGATGTAGGTTGAGAAGGGAAAGTTCGAGTCAGTTTTAGGTGAAGTTGTTTTCAAGCGAGGAAGTTAGCTTGCTTGAGGAATCCCAGCCAGAAGGGGACTCGCAAGTAAAATGTGAAGCAATAGTTCTGGTGTGAGAGAAGGTTAGAGAGACAACAGAGACCCCTCGCTGAGGGAAAGCAGCATAACAAAGAAATAGTTCAGAGACGATTGTGAGTTTACCCAACTTGATGGAGGCGACGCGGAGCAAGAAGCATCACTGCATAGCGCCAGCCAAGCTTTTGTAACAGTGAAGTTGCCAATTTTACGGAAGATATAGATAGTTTCGAATATTTATACAACTTCAATACTCGAGTAAAGGTAATAGTAATGATATTAATGTTATTATTGTTATTATTATTCGGTAAAGGCCTTATTATTCTGTTATGCAGTAGTTAAAACACACCTCACAAGCGAGAGGACTTTTGTTCGAACCCTGGCTTGGCTGATAAGATTGGGCACAATGTTTTCTCTCCACGATATAAAACTATTGGCAGATCCTCTTCCGGAGAAGCTGTTCGCGAAGAACAATTAGCCAGATTAAAAATATAATTATTGTTACAAAAGTAATAACAATAATTACACATCAAGAACTACCCCTTCCTTCGCTAGAAGAAAGTCCACAAGCAAGGCGACAGGGACGAGCTCGGAAGTGTAGAGTGGCTTGATGTCCTACTTTGCAAATTGTCTCCCAGAATGAGATCAGACAGAAGAGTCAGCCGTAAGCTCTCGTTGCATGTGGAGACAGCTCCTCACCCTCAGATGAAAGAGTAATTAGATTCTGGGCTCAAAGGAACTCGAGGTTTGCTATGTCAAGACTTGAGTAGAGAGCTTCCCAGCTCCCTCACTGGACAACGTAATCCTATACGAGAAAAATGTAAATATCTCCTGATCTTAAAGAATAATTTGCTGTATCATAAGGAAAAACTGCATAAACTGATAAGTATGGCACTAAATTCAAGAAGGGGGAATAAATTACCCAAATTATACACACTTAAACACCATATTTAACAAGAACTGAACTGCCAATCCAACCGTTAGTCAGCTAGATTTAAAACTGAAGGAGTTAACTTCATCCTGGAGAAGTGTTCTGATTTATGTCACATTTTTATTCTAAGGAGGACAAAAGAGAAGTTTAAAACACTCATAAACGGCGCGGCAGTTAAGGGCAATTAATCTAAAAGGCTAGTGAAGGAAGGCAGAGCTCTAGTGGCTGCTGTGGGCTTTTCCACGGCGATCCAGTTTTAAATTTTAAAATCCAATTTTTAAATTTTACATATTCTCCAGGGGGAACCCTCACTCACAATTGCTGATACGAGAGATGCGGTGATACTAGAGTGGGGTGGTGGTGGTGGTGGTCGGGGGTGGCTGGTGCTTTTGCTAGTGGTTGGTTAGTGATTGGTGGTTGATTAGGTGGTTGGTTAGTGATTGGTGGTTGATTAGGTGGTTGGTATTGGTTTGTTGGTAATTGCGGTTGGTTGCATGGTGCTTGTTTTGTTAGGTTCTGGTAGTTGATTAGTTGGTGTTGATGGTTGGATGAATAGTTGGTGATAATAATAGGATGGTTAGTTGGTAGTCGTAGTGGAGACAAACTACAGAGTTGGTCCTGTAAACACATACTAGACTTCAACACCATCCTCTTACGGTGTTGATATTTCAACACCGTAAGAGGATGAAACCAAGTGACAGGAGATCCACATGACAGTACATAACAAACGCTTAGAGAAGAAACCCTCTCAACATTGTACCAAGTCTTACCTTAGAGGAAAGACTTGCATAAGTCTTATCTAGGTACATCTTACTTATATATTCCTAGGATAACGTCAGCATCATGATCAAAACTAGCGAACCTCATAAGGGCATCCAGGACTTGAAAAATGGAGGTTCCAGATCCCTGTACTTTACCTGCGTAAGGCCAGTCCTAAAGTAATGAGGTGCAGGTTCGAATCCTCGTCACGGCCCTTGTGGATTTGTTCTTTTAATGAGGGGCGTCGTGAAGCCGCCAACTCATAAAGCACCAAAGGAAACTTGACTAGTAAAGAGGTATTCAACGAAGCTAGTAGTACCAGAATTACGTAAGATGTGGGGTATGGAGAAAGATCGAAAGAGACATATAGCCACCTAACGTAGCTAGAAAAGATAGGATAGAGAGGAGACTTGATTGAGAAATATAAAATACCTAATGGGATTGACAGAGTATAATAAAAGGAAATGTTCTTAATGAATTCCAGTAGAACAAGAAAACATGGATTGAAGCTTCAGACATAAACGATGTGAGAAAATAGTATATTTTTTAGCATAAAAGGTGCAGGAAAATGGGTTGATATAAACGATGAACCGACTTGACAATGGTCCATGACGGACCGAAACGTCGTCGTCTTTTCATCTTCTAGTGTGTGGTCTGGTCAACATTCCTCTGCCCCGTTATTGTGACTCATCATCTGCAAAAGTTGTAGAAGCCAACTCCAGGCATAATTTAAAAAGTAGTTATGATAGAAAGTTAGGTGGTGAATTATGCAATTACATTACATAACCGTCGACTGGAAAGGCAGGGCCCATGCTCAATCCTGCATGCATAAATATGAGTACACACACACACACACACACACACACACACACACACACACACACACACACACACACACACACACACACACACACACACACACACACACACACAGTCAATGCTCGATCCTGCAGACACAACTAGGTGAGTACAACTAGGTGAGTACACACACACACACACACACACACACACACACACACACACACACACACACACACACACACACACACACACACACACACACACACACACACACGCGCGCGCGCGCACGTACACGCACTCACAAACGTCGGTGCGTGCACGTGTGTGTGCAGGTAGGAGTGCACACTATACATTTACTATGCAGGCAGGAGTGAAAGGGAAGGTACTCCATTGGATTAGGGAGTACTTAAGTAATAGAAGGCAGCGAGTCACTGTGCGGGGTGAGGTCTCAGATTGGCGAGACGTCACCAGTGGTGTGTGTGTGTGTGTGCGTGTGTGTGTGTGTGTGTGTGTGCGTGTGTGTGTATGTGTGTGTGTGTGTGTGTGTGTGTGTGTGTGTGTGTGTGTGTGTGTGTGTGTGTGTGTGTGTGTGTGAGTGAATGTGTTAGAGTAAAATATATGTAGTAGATATAATAGAGGTAAAATAGATTAGTTGGTAAATACAATAGTAAAAACACACACATATATAAGCACACTTAAGTGAGTATATTTAGATGATTACTTACATAAGTAATGTACACACAGACAGAAATACAGACATGAAGAAATAAAACATTGGAGACAGGTGGATTGTTTTCATCTTGGAATCAACTGGAGATATTTGCAATAGACTTGTGGCCATCCATTTACTCTCGCTTCACACACACTACCCAGCTGCCAGGGGGCGAAGGAGGGATGTAGGAAGGGAAGGAAAGGGAAGGGAAGGGAAGGGAAGGGAAGGGAAGGGAAGGGGGGGGAGAACTGAGGGAAGGAGTGAGTAAGGGATGGAGTTTTATTAGGGAATGAGGAATGATAAGACAGAGAGAGAGAGACAGAGAGAGAGAGAGAGAGAAAGAGAGAGAGAGAGAGAGAGAGAGAGAGAGAGAGAGAGAGAGAGAGAGAGAGAGAGAGAGAGAGAGAGAGAGAGAGAGAGAGAGAGAGAGAGAGAGAGAGAGAGAGAGAGACAGAGAGAGAGAGAGAGAGAGAGAGAAAGAGAGAGAGAGAGAGAGAGAGAGAGAGAGAGAGAGAAAGAGAAGGGAATAAGGAATGATAAATGAGAGAGAGAGAGAAGGGAGAGGAGACAGGGGAGAAAAACAAATTGCAAATGTTGAATACTGGAACTTTGCGGATGCACATGATGAACGTGACCATGGGGGTGAGAGCCCGTAAAATGGGATCAGTAAAAATAACAGAAAAAAAATGGATGATGGATATTAAATTTCCTGTCATGCAGAAGGCAAAGAGTAACAACCAGTCAAACAAAATTAAGCCCAAACGTAGTAAAATGCTGTATAACCCCCAGGACACAGTCCAGCTCAGATTTTGCTTTCTCACATCAGATTTACACAAAAATATGCAGGCGAAGAGTCACAATAACGTGGCTGAAGTATGTTGACCAGACCACACACTAGAAGTTGAAGGGACGACGACGTTTCGGTCCGTCCTGGACCATTCTCAAGTCTACACAAAAATACATCACAGTTTTGTGTCATCCTTTGCAAATGCAAAATCAACATGGCGATTACATCTCTAGAAATCATTGACGACTACTAGTCGATATCAATAAGGTCTTCGACTGGGCAACAGAAAGTAAGATAAGTTCCAGATTCTTATGTTTTGTAAAAATTAAGAATTTAAATGAAATAGTACAGGATACAAGACACAATCAGATATCATAATAAGAAAACAACATGTAAAGGACCTGGGAATAGTGATGTCTGACGACCTATAACATTTAGTGAGCATAACCAAACAAATATAGTATCAGACTGGATATTGTTTGGATGGAATATGAGAACCTTTAAATTCAGAGATTCATCTATACTGCTCATGCTATTGTAACCACTGGTCCTGTCCCGCCTTGAGTACTGCTCGGCACTCACTTTCCCTTTCAGAGCAAGAGGAATTGTTGAAAGAGTGAATACAGAGAACATATTCGGCACGCATAGACACGACAAAGCACCTAAATTGTTGGGTCATTCTCAAAGCTCTCAAACTGTACTCTCTATAGAAAGGAGACGACAGACGTATTACATAATATACATGGAAAATATTGGAGGGCCAGGTTCCAAATTTACACATTAAAATAACAGTACATTTGAGTGAGCGATTTGGTAAGAAATGCAGAATAGAGCCAGTGAAGAGTATAGAGAATAGAGCCTAGGTGCAATCAGAAAACACTGAACGTCACAGGTCCACGGCTCTTTAATGCCCTCTCAGCACGGATAAGAAATATTGCCGAAACGAACATTAACTTCTTCAAGAACAAATAAGACACGTCCTTGCAAGAAGTTCCGGACCAACTGGGTTGTTGTGGATATGTGGACCTGCGGGCCGCTCCTAGCAACAGTCTGTTGGACCAATTTATCACAAGTCAAGCTTGGCCCCAGGTCGGCCTTGGGGAGAAGAACTCCCAGAACTCAATCCAGGTATGATCCAGGTGTGAGGGAAGAAGGAAGGTGGGAAAGGTTGAAGTGAGATACGCAGCACCTGGGGCCAAAGGTTAGCTATCGTTGACGTGTGTGTGTGTGTGTGTGTGTGTGTGTGTGTGTGTGTGTGTGTGTGTGTGTATGTGTGTGTGTGAATACAAACCAATATACAAGAGAAATGTTATGTAAAGAAATAGGAATCGATTCCGTTCCCCATCTCCTTACACCCGTCCTCCCCTCCCCTCCCTCTCCCCTTCCTCCTTTCCCTTCCCCTTTAAGAAGAAAAACAAAAACCCGCGGTACAAAGGAATTATGTAAATGGCGATTTCGTGCCCGTAACGTTAGCATTTTTTATAAATTAAAAGTAATTTGTATGAAGGGAGCTTCCGCTTGGGAGAATAAGGTATGCATTGAATATTATATCCTCTCCTCTGAGGTAACAATGGTTTCTCCACTTGTCTGAGGTAACAATGGTCTCTCCACTTGTCTGAGGTAACAATGGTCTCTCCACGTGTCTGAGGTAACAATGGTCTCTCCACTTGTCTGAGGTAACAATGGTCTCTCCACTTGTCTGAGGTAACAATGGTCTCTCCACTTGTCTGAGGTAACAATGGTCTCTCCACTTGTCTGAGGTAACAATGGTCTCTCCACTTGTCTGAGGTAACAATGGTCTCTCCACGTGTCTGAGGTAACAATGGTCTCTCCACTTGTCTGAGGTAACAATGGTCTCTCCACTTGTCTGAGGTAA